GTGGATGAGTCCCAATGTATAGATCTATGTATTGTAACGAAAATGTATTTTTCTTTTCAAATCTGTTTATAATGCAGGTTCTTTATGGTTAAGGAAAAAGCCTGTGGCAATATTTTATCATTGAGATGCCATTTTACAATCAGTTTGATTGGGTGGTTGCAATAACTTTTATAACATGTGTTCTGAAAATGTTAGTCATGAAAAACATTTGTTCATCAGAAGAAATAATATGTACCATTGTTTTTGTTCGTTTTGTTTTCTCAATGACCATTCCTCTGTTGTCCATTTTGAAGTCAATAAACATGTTAGTCATACTTCATCAGAATGTGTGGTATGAAGTTTTTTATTTGTTTCATTGTGTATGTTCAACACAAGTCTCTGTTTCGAACTAAGCTTTGTGTTTTTGAATTTGGTGTCATTACACAGTGCACATGTGTATATATATATATATATATATATGTATATTTTTCGGGCAGTCATTTTACTTCTCTTGGGCTTTGAATGGCTGTAATTGTGTCGATGTTGAAGTTCCTTGTGGGTGGTTGGCGGATGCTCTTGTGTGCTTTTCTCCTTTCCTATCAAACATCTCTTGTCCTCATCTCTCCTCCTTCTTTTCTGTATGCATGTATTATGTTACTCTCTAGTAACTTCTCTAAGTCTAAGTCTAGTCTTTGGCACTTGTATGACCAATTTGTGTTGCAAGTGCCATAAAATAAATGCTTACTAAAAGTAAACTTTCTGGCTGGCTGTCTGGCTTGCCTTCCAGCACTGAATGTCCATAATTGTGTCGATATATTTTTTTGTACTCAGACTGGTCTGTGGAAAAACATGGCAGTTATCTAGTTGAGCGCTACACTGTCTAAAACTAGGTATTTTTATACCCCTATTGCAGGGCTGCCCACCATTACAAATTTGACGGAATCATTACGATTTTTATTCAATTTTACCAAAATACCTTGACTCTGACTTTTAAAAAATTTGTTGACTACCCAAACCCACTGCCAACCTTCCTGGTTTTATAAGGGGAGAAAATAGAAAAACTACCAACCCGGATAGTCTACTTTTTATTTATTTATTTTTTGGGTAAATGTTTTACGGCACTCGTAACTGCATAAGGTCAAGTGAGCGCGCGGGACGCACAAAACGTTTTCAGTTGGTAGGAAATTTTGAATTTTGCCCAGGTGACGGCTGAAGCCTACTCTTATCGATTTTAGACCTCCAAGGGATCTTTTATGTGCACAACTTGCACACCGGACCTCTGAGATTTTTCGCTCTTGTCCGAGAAGGCTAGGTGTAGATCTTTCCTACCAGAAGATCAGGGGTGTGGTGGAAAGACAGAGGTAAGAAGGAGTCAAGGAATAGCAGTAGAAAGGCTGCAGAAAGAGTCAGGAGCCCAGAGGAGGGGGCAAAGGAGGTGAGGAGGTTGGGGCAGAAAGTGGAGATGAAAGCCGACGACAAATTATTGTTAAAAGAGCAGGAAAGGAGGTGAAAGGTGACAATTTTACAGAAGAAAATTTTTCATCGTTGTCTGGTTTCTAACCTGAGACCTATTATTGAATGAAAGTTTTTTGAACACCGTAACCTCTTGACCATGAGAGCCCCCAGGTCCCCTTTGCCCTTAGAAAAAAAAACGCATTAGACTTAAGAAGTGCCCATGCCAAGAGTAAGGGAAACAGATCAATAACGTGGTAGAAAACTCCTGCCTTTTTGTATCATTACGCCTTCGTTTACGTTACATATTTATAATGCAGTGGACTACATCCCCTGTCCTTTAGTTTTAGTACATGTAAATGTTTTACAGCACTTGCAATACAATAAGTTTATATAAGTGCTGAAGATTAGAGGTGTTACAAGAGAGTAACAAACACAATAAAAGAGGGGAGATAAAGATGATAGGTGTTTGATAAGAAAGAAGAAGCAAACCACATTAGAGCATCCATCAACCACCCACATCCCCTGTCCTTGACACCCTATCAAAGAAGATTTCCATAGCCATATTACGAATTTTTATACCAGTTTACTAATTTTCAATCTGTTGATTACAAAATCATATGGTGGTGGGTGGGCAGCCCTGCCATTGACACAATTTTGATCATTTTGGAGGTGGTTTTCTGACTCTGCATGTTAGGGGTCAACTAAGGCTGAGAGTCGAGAGGGATACAACATCCCAGTAGTAAGACTGAGATACCCAATATAAATTCTTCCCACTCAGGAATTGAACACAGATCACTTGTGTGCAACAGCAAAGCGTCTAACCGCCACATCACAGATACTGGTCCTAAAACTTTCTCTTCTATCTTCTCTACTGAGGTAACATTGAGGAACTCCTCACCGACCTCACCTCAGTGGACGGTTGGCGGGTGCTCTGATATGGTTTACTCCTTTTGTTCTATCAAACATCTATTGTCCTTATCTCCCCTCCTTCTTTTTTTGTGTGTTTGTTGCTCTCTTGTGACACCTCTAGTAATCTTCGTCTTGAAGAACTTAAATATCAAAAGACAGTATGGAACTACTTTCGATCTCATTCAGTTACATTGTTTGCAAACCCAAAAATAAGTAACAGGAGCAGACCATGGCAAACACCCATCAACCACCCACAGAATGGGTATTTGTTGAAAAACGTCTCCAATGAAATACTTATAATCAGAGGTCCCTCAAGCTTCATAATGGGAACACATACTAAAAAATCTGGGGAAAGAGATAACGACGAATGAACCTGGACCAAAGACTCAATGAGACGTAAAAATTTATTCCGTACAATCTTGAAGGTGAATTTGATTCTTCAATTCATTCAGCTGTGACAGTGACTCATCATACTTCCTTTCCAAAAACTGAACTCGTACACGCATATATAATACCTTTTAAAAAACATACGCAGAGGCGAAAAACCTCTAGAAAGTACAATGACACTTAAGGATAGCACAAAGAGCTCAACGATTTCTTAAAAACTTATAAGTACAAGCAAAGAATGTCTTTTAACGCAAGTTCATTTTACATTTTCACAGGTGTGAAACATTTGTCATGTAAAAATGTCCAATAAAATTGGTAAAAAATATAAGGATAGACATAAGATTTTTTTAGATTTGTAGGCTTACAACAATACTTTAAAATATAGGGAAACATGTACGGTACCTTAAAACTGTACATGTACCAAGATATTTAAGTAAAGAATTACAAGGCTTACTTCGACATGCGAAGTCCAGTCATGGAGAGGCTTTTCTTTTATGTCATAAAACCCTGGCTATAATAATTATAGTAATAGTAAGCAAATAAGTAAAGATTTTTCTGAGGGATATTAAGCTTTGACAAAATTTTATACAGTAACAATCTATAAATCACTGTAAACCCCAGGTCATATTTTTGAGAGGCAATTTGAAAAAAAAAAGAAAAGAGATGAGAGAAAGGGTAGCCCTGCTGAATAGCAGATTCGACTGTAGTCACTTTGGGCTATCGGCTGCCCACCTTAATTCTTTTTTTGTTTAGGGCATTTAGGAGAAGGGCTTCCAGTCCTGCCTGTCAGCGTCAACCCAGGCTGAGAGGGATACAACATCTTAGCAGAAAAGCCGAGATACTCCTTAAAAATTCTCCCCGGAATCGAACTCAGGCCTGCTGTGTACGACAACAAAGTGCCTAATTACTACACCACAGGCGCCGGTCTAACCATATTTAAAGATATCCAGACTCTATATATCACAAATCTATAGCAGCAAAACGTACAGTAGAATTTGAAAAATGAACGTATGCACTCGGAGGAATGTTCTGAAGAAGATAAGTAAATTCCCTAAATCCAAATACACAATGTAGCTCCATTCATTCATTCATGTATAATGACACATGGTAGTACTAATTCAGATACTGTATATTACAATTACAAGAAACCTAGCACATGGAAAAATGATTAATTTTAAGTAGATGATCAAATTAGCTCTCAGAAAAAAGCGTGTGTAAAGTAGAACATACATTTGTAAAATCTATATAGACTTTCTTAAGAAAACGCAAGAGCTTTGCTGTAAAAACACAAGAACACCTAAGCTTTTCATGATCAAGAGACAGGCTGTTCTTTACGGAATTCATCATACTGTACATTCGTACAGATGGGTAAATAGAGACCGGCAAAGTAAAAAGAAAAATTGTATCACAAAACGCTGCATTTGGACCAAGATTGGAGTCCATGATAATAATGTTCACAGCCATTGTTTTCTTCACATTATTATTTTAAAATATTAAAAACCCCAAAAACTTCTTCACATCAACTTTCCATCACAGCAGTAGAATCTACATGAAATGTGATGTACATGTATCTAGAATCAATAATGTATTGTAAGGTCCTTTTCTGGGTATCTTTCTCATAATCTGCAATTAAAAACATGAGCCGCCTGTACATGTCCGACTGAATCTATTAACAAATGTGCATTTTTTTCTTTTCTTTTGACACATGGACTTTCCTCTACTTGATGCCACTCATACTCATGCATGCATGCAATAACTTAAGGTAGAATAGAGAATAGAATAATGAGCTTGGCTTCAATCTTCAAACTGTTGTAGTTATAACATACTCTAACTTACGGCATCGTCCACTTTGCCCAAGGAATAGAAAAATGTATAAAAAAGTTTGGCATCAATTTCATAGTTCTAGTTCACCCCTACTGAATGTAGGAGGCTGTTTATATACTTTACTTTTATCCTCCGTTTATACCCTTTTGGGTGTCGCGGGAAGAAAGAGACGTCTCTCTGTCGCCAGCCGGAGAGCTTGGGTCAGGGGGATGCCCTGGGTGGTTAATGTTTCCCTGACTCCATCTATCCAGGTCTTTCTCGGGCGCCCTCTAGCCTTGCTGCCATCGAATTTTTGGATGTAGGCACGTTGTGTTGGAGGGTGTTTTGGTAATTGTAGGAGATGTCTGAACCATTAATGGATTCTTTCGTGTTGGATGTGATGCACGACATCATTTGTGCCCACCATTTCTCGGATTACTGAGTTTCTAATTTTGTCTCGCCTGGTCTTTTTTACTGCTTTTCTAAGGCATCGCATTTCAAATGTAATTCTTTGCTCTAATGTCTTATTCAAGGTCCACGTTTGGCATTGATTTAGTGAGTGTTGGGATATAAGTATAAGTTTGTATATTTTTCTTTAAAAAAACAAAAACGGTGGACGTTTTTTTCACTTTGTTGTAGGGGGGGGGGTCAACTTTGTTGAATGTGGATTCTTCATCAGTATTGTACGAAAAGGAGTGCCTAAACAATATATAAATATATAAAACATAGTAGGCCTACAAGTATTCATGCTTTCACACCGCCAACTGTCCGAGTTGTACGGTCCTGAAGTAAATTTGCAGCGCCATACCGACAGCGAACGAACTGATTGCCAGAGGTACACACTGCATACGGTGCACAACACACAACGTGACCATTTTCTCCCACGAGAGAGAGAGACAGTGACAGAGAGACAGAAAGGGTCCAAGGTGAAGCACGGCCAGAAAATCCTAAGGTATGATGAACATGCCTTGAAGGGCCGTATGTTAATCAAATATGCCTTAAACGGCCTAATGTTAATTAAACATGAAGGGCCTAACGCAAATTGAACATGCCTTGAATGACCTGGGTAAAATAGACATGGTTCGAAAGGTTCAAGGTAAACCATGGCCTGAAGGGCATAAGGTTAACTAAATATACATATATATAATATATATGACTTGAAGGGCTGACAAAATAACACTTATTTGTTCAGATTTAACTCATCAATGTAATCTGGGCACACACTAACGTGTGCATATATTCAGATAAGGCAGCTTTGGTTCACCTCAAAAGTGCAATGACATGAACAGAGAAAACATTGTTGGCAAACAGTTCTATTGTACTAAACCAAGAAAGCAAAATTCTTTTGGGGAGACAAAAAAACAAAACTGTTTCATTCCGTTAACACATGCTTTCTTTTTCCTCAACATTTAGAATTTGAATTTTGACAAAACATTTCTCCGATATACTCAAACAATATCATTAAGAAACTGAAAAAAATAATAATTTATTAATTAAAAATTTCAGGCTTTCTATATCTGAAGAGCTGGCTGACAATATGTCATCAAGTTCCCAACAGCTTTAGGTCTGACATTTCACTTCATATATAACTTGGAAATAATCATGAGCAAACGCCAACTTTGAGAAAAATATCCTGACTACTTGTAAGACATACAAAGCTGTATTAAAAACATACGCAGTAAATAATGGCAGCTGATGTTCGTTCTTTTTTTGTTGTCCCGTGTCCCTTTTTTGGGTGCCATGTTAGTGATCTTATTCATATCTAACAATCATTAACTAAGAAAATGTGAGTGAGTAGGTACAATGATATTCCAACATTTAAATGGATCAGTATAAGAATGAATAACAATGGTTAGGTCTATTTGTTATAGTATAATAATGTAATTAATAGAAGCTGATGTTGATTTTATTGATAGAGTTAGGAGACACATAATAGGACTATATCGCTGCCTAAACAGAGTGCAGTCGAGCCTGTTTTGAAGGCCACCTGTCTCAATTACCTGTACAAACAGCCACTTCTGACTTCCAACATGAGTTTTATCTATATATTATAATGACACCTATCCAAGACGTTCACCTGTCTAAGACAACAACTTTTCTCCTTGACAATGGATGGCCGTCTTAGATAATTTCTCCTGTATTTGCTCTTTCAACATCTCTGAAGGTTAGGGTTACAGATAGGGTTAGACTGAGGGTTAAGGTTAGGGATAAGATTCTTGGATCAAACATTAAGTACAAAGTATGCAGCTCTATAACTAAACAAACCTCTAACTATATCAGGTACAAGGAACTGCAGACTATAAACAAGCTCTTTCTCAAATACACATTTTGAGAAACAATTGCACAAAAAATAGCACCAGGCTCATGACTAATGGATTAAGAGATCAGTGTGAAAAGTTAGAGCAACAATAGGTAAAACAAAGGTGAAATTTGATAAGTTCTAATTCAAGCATTTGTTAAGTACCAATAAAAAAAATTATGCATGAAGTGTAAGAGACTATAGCTATAAGCCATGTGCACGGTGTAGGGAATAAATTGATGAAAATGAGCAACAAATTTAATGGCTGACTTGGGAAAAATAAGTGAGAAAAATACAAATATATAACTCCTTCATGATGCAAATGGAAAATAAAATCTATGCGCTTCATTTCAAACAATTAAGTATTGTACCAATACATGATGTTGGTTGCAGAAGGTGTGGAATGAAAACCTTTTTTCCTTCTATAAAATTCAAAACCAAAATTATCTATAAAAAGTAGATGGCCAAGTTGACAGATGAAATGAAAAGATGAGCTAAGAGTGGCAAGGCCGGCTTCAAACGTGATGATCAATTATTATCCATTAGGCCTACTTGTTGTGGCAGGCGGTTGTCAATTAACGCTACAACAAAACAGAACAAAATCAATACGCCTACCTGCTAAATGAAAGAACTTTCCTTTCTATATCAGGATCATTTTCCTCTCCACTAAACATCCTGCCTGAACACCCTGCCTGATGATCCTGACTTCTTTTAGATTGGCACTACACTTACGCACAAATATACTACTTGTGAATACACACCACCTGAAACAAATTTTTTAAATGTATGCTTGTGTGAGTCTAGCTAGGCCTACATGTGTGCAAGTGTACGTTTGAACGTGCAAAAGTATGAGCATGCATAATTTATGTCAGTGTTAAAGTATGGGTATACAGTCATGGATTTATGTCTTTGCTCAAGTGTGAATATTATTGTAGTTTTCAAGAACTTTAACTCACTTGATACCGTCCTTTTTCTAACCACGGGCAAACTCTAGCTACGGAACTGGCATTCTGAGGGAATTCAAAGATAACATTGACAGTTCCAAAGCATATATATATTCAAAATATAATTTTCACACAAATGACAAAAAAAGTGTGCGTATCGATAACAGAAACCATATTTAAATTAACAATAAAAAAAAAAAATTTCCCCATTACACAGTACACAAATTGTCTCCCCCTCCCCCCCCACCCCAGGAGATGGCACAGTAAAATGCTGATATGTTTACCAAAATATATTCTAATTTCTTAATCCCATCCTCTTAACTCTTTCAGCACTGAAGCATTTCCATTTACGTTTGTACAGACAAGATAAAACGTTCACTGTTCCCGAAAAAAGAGGTTTAAACAAAGCCATAGCTTATTTCCACTTATCAATAATAAATAAAACACTAGATGCAAATACCTCTTCTAGAACATCCTCTATAAATTATGAACCATTAGAAAAAATGTTCGAGAACCGGTTTGGGAGAACACGAGTACGTACATACGTCAACACAGCAGTTTGGTTTTAGTAGAGGTTTTACGGCGCTCGCAACTGCATAAGGTCATATGAGCGCAAGAAGATTAGAGGTGTTACAAGAGAGTAACAAACATAAACAAGAAGGAAGGGAGATAAGGACGATAGATGTTTGATAGAAAAGAAGAAGCAAACCACACCAGAGCACCCGCCAACCACCCACTAACACAGCGGTGAAGAGGTCAAAGAATGAAAATGTATATCAGAAATGTATAAATATTTCTTACAAGTCCACAATAGCAGAAAAAGAAATTTCAGTACTTCATTGTCTCACTATCACTGCATTATTTTCGATTGGTCTGGAACTCCCCTCTTCCCTGACATCATTAAAGTAAAACCCACTGCTCTCATCCCTGTGAAACAAACCAATAAAGCACAATATGTAATATGTAATATATTATGTTAAAATCATGAGCTAGAGTAGACCATGGTTCCTGCAGCCTTTGACGAAACACATAAAGATAAAAAAATCAATCATGTTAATTCAGAAGGAACTGAGTAATTTGGATCTAAGGTAAGGAAAGCATTCCAGTGACAGACGCAACTACCTAAAAGAAATCTTCCCCAAAAGACCATTTTCCCTCTTAGCTGCATTCTCTCCATTCTAAATGTTAGAAGAAAAAAATATAATTTCTCCTAAATATTTTAGGTGAGCTCAAATATGTTCCACATCAAAATGTAGGGAAAATAAATTGGTACCCCCCCCAAAAAAAATAGTCTTAGCATAAAATAGTGGTCTGTAGGAACCTTGACGATAAGACTTTTCATAATGAATGAATTTATCACACCAAGAAATACAGCTCAAAGTAATAATAATAATAGTTCGTTACTCTTTCCAAAAGTGGTGTGCTTTTCTGCCTCAACATAAGGACAGTTGGTTAAACTTTCCCAGTTGGGACGGAGTTAACTCATTCAGTGCTACCGAGGAGAATACTCGTGAAACTAGGGCCCCACTCACATACTAGCAACGAGTATTCTTGCATTCGGCCTCGCTATTTTTATAGAAAGAATTACTTTATCTAATCCATACCAAGTTATTTGAACTAATCGTGATGCATTATGGGAAAGGTCAAAGAGACATTTTTTCTGCTCGAACAGCCATTGAGCCCACTTGTTTTGATCGATTTTCCTGGGTAGACCTAATTTCATTTTGCCATAACAAAACTGCCCAGTATATGAGGGGAGTTCACTGCTGGAGCGTTCAGCATTGAACGAAGTAACTCTTTCACTACGGGGGGGGGGGGGGGGGGGGGGGTTCCCTCAACTGGAGCGGGCCCTATGTGTGACCTACTTTCTGATTCTACCTATCCTCAGACAAATGAAAGATCTTGAGGTCAATCTATTGCATATTTGGCAACTTGGAAACACATGTGTCACTTTTCCCCATAAAACTGCGACAATTACAGAGTTGGAAGTTGGCAAGTACTTGCAAAAAGGTAGATAGGTCCTCCTAATGGAGCCCGATTTTTTATTTAATCATTTCCTGAATTTAGAAAACTATGCTTGACAAAAAGTTCCTCTCCTTCTTTGGCCTTTGTGATTATTCCACTGAGAAATTAAACAAATCTGCGTAACTGTCCTTCACAGCCGAAGTGCTGGAAGTGATATTTCGCGAGGCGCATTTTGTGATTGTGAAGGGCGAGACAGCAATGCAGATATAAAGCAATGTAGATCTTAATCTAGAGAAGATCAAGAAGCCAGGAGCAACTGTGAAAGGCTAAACTGCAATGCAGATCTAAAATGTACCCAAGGCTCAAAGACAAACCAGATCAAGACAGATCTAAGAAGAGTCTTAACATTATTTTAGTGGATCTATAGAAATAGAGGAGTTAATCAAGGCAGATCTAAAGCTAAAGCAATAATGTAGATCTAGGGGCCAGGTGTATTTTGTGATTGTGAAGGGATGGACAGCAATACACTAAAACAATGTAGATCAAGAGAGGAGTTAATCAAGGCAGATCTAAAATTCGAATCTAAAGCAATATAGATCTAGAAGCCAGGTGTGACTGTGAAAGGCTAGACAGCAATGTAGATCTAAAATGCCTCCGTGGCGTACACCAGTAGGAGCAGTGACGCCAAGGCATTGAAGACAGCAAGCCAGGAGACTTGCAGAAAATCGAGAAAATGAGGGTACCGGCTGCAGAACCTCTGCCTAAAGCATTCTCTTACAGCCTTGTCACGTCTGAGTAGGTTTGCGACATTGGAACATTAAGTAGTCTTTGCCCCAATTGCAATGCAATGTTGTCTACGAAGAAGTTCTATAATCACTCCAGGATTAAAAATGAGCATGTGAGTACCTATTTGTTTGTCCTGAACTAAAATGTTTCAATAGTTTACAGGTTTCTTAGTTTTGAAATTTGTCATTGTTATATTTCACTTTCAGCAGAAAACTGACCATATTTCCTTCTGCTCCACCCTTCCCTTTCCGACTACCCCGAGCAAAGCCGGGTACTCAGCTAGTTTTTAATATTGGCCACATGTATTATATATACATGAAACTAAAGGGGAAATAATGACTTATTTCAAGATGTTTAAAATGATCATTCTTCAGCCTGATATTTCAGTTTCGATTATTACAAAAGTAGGACTGGTTTTGAAGCAGAAAGTGGAGAGCCGAGAAACACGGGCTCGTGGTAGCAAAAGAGTTAAGAGAGTGGAGACCTAACAATGGTCAGTATTATCATCTTGAGCCTCCCATTTCCCTCTTCTGCCACTCGTGTCGACACAAGTAGCCCAGGCACAGATACCGCGCGTCGGGACCAAAGAGACCCATCTGTCCTTGGTCACACCTAAAGGTCTGCACCTTGATGTAGTCCTCCTTCAGCATTTCCGGAGAGTACATTGACGCTATCACTTCCTGGTCTGTGTTGGACAAACCTCGGTGAAGCAACTCCTCCACAGCTGCCTGATAGTCTTGAGTGAATTTTAGCATTACCTGGGGAAATGAATTATAAAAATAAATTGATAAATAAATTCCACTTCATTGAGCATGTGGGGATATTTGGGTTACAATGGCATACGCACACACACACACACACACACACACACACACACATAAACATAGTCGGGCAAGGATAGCTCAAACGTGTATACGATTGACAATAAATGTATTTGACCCCGCATTCATATTCTGGTAAACCGATGACAAAAAATTAAAGAGATATCATTTGGGGATTGGCAAATTGTACGAGCTATCAGTGATCTTGAGTTTTCTGTGCTCATGTTATTTGTGCCTGACTGTGCTAAGGTACCTGCATACTTAAACACACACACACACACACATACACATATATATATGTGGCATGACATGGTGAAATCAGGCGTTCGTCAATTTTTAGGCATAGGGAGTTACTGGTACCATCTTAAAGCCTGTTCATTCGCATTGCTTTTAGTGAAACAAATATCCATCCATGTTGAATAGAAGTTGAGATATTGACGATTGAAGGTGGTGAGGGTCATCTAGAGGTAAAATTAGCGAAAAAATGGCTGCCAAAGTTTTGTAACTACAGTAGCTTGAGAGGTCTTGGAAACTAAATATTGACATTTTTTGTGCCTTTAATCTATGTTTTTCAGTAAAATCCACACAGAAATGTGTTTTTAAATGAACGTAAAAGGTGTTGAGTCAATAGAAGAAAATTAGAACAAAACTGACAGATGGCCAGAAAAACGCCAGTTTCTTTGATTTCAATATATATTTTGACGAGTGCCTGCGCTCGTCAAAATAATGAAATCAAAGAAATCTGCATTTTTATGGACGTTGGGCAATTTTTCTTCGAATTTTCTTTGTTTGGCTCAACATCTTTAATGTCGATTTAAAAACAATGGCGCAGAAGATGTAAATTTGCATTTTCCAAGGACTCTGAAGCTTTGGTAGTCACCAAACTTTGTCAGCCATTTTCTCGCTAATTTTACTTCTGAAACCAAGCAACACTATCTCCTTCAATTGCAAATATCTTGACTCCTATTCAAGATAGAAGTGTTAATTTTTTCAACGAAAGCAAGACAAATGAACAAGTTTTATGATGATACCAATATTAACTCCACATGCCCAAAAATTGACGAGTGACTGATTCCGCGACACACACACACACATTATACATAAATAAAGTTGTTTGAATAAAGACAACCACATCAACATGAATATGTTCAATCAATGTTGGGGAAAAGTAAGATAGACAGTGATAGGCAGAAATGACAGAGAGAAAGAAAAGAAGTAAAACCTACCAGTGGCATTCTCCAATCTTTTACAGCAAAGAAGAAAAAAAGAAGAAAGAAAGATATTCATCTTTCTATGCCGACAATACTACAGATATTTTGGGACAGATGAATGTATAGTACATCATATGTTCAGCCTAACCCATTTTCTCCTTTAACAGATGACTCTCATGAAGTAAAAATAATTGATATTACATAGAGATATAGAGAGCCTGGCCTAGACTCTGTGTATCAGGTGGAGGAGGGCATTGTTCGGAAAAGGTCACAAAAAGATAATCTGTCACAGAATTGTGGTTCATATTAGGTTATTATAATAACGGTCACATTTCATCACGATGCAAAAGAGGACAATAGAAACACTGACAAAGAGAAGAAAGAGCAGATCCCGCTAGGAACGATCCCCAGCCGCCTGCAACGCACGACATAAATGACACTTTTTCTAGGTCAGACATAATGTGGGGGCTCCAGTAGTGGCTCAGTGAGTAGTGAGTGCAGACTCAAAAGTAACATCAAGCAAGTGCCGGTGATACAGGGTTTAAGTGGGTGGTCACTGGGGTCTGTCCTTGAGCAAGACACGACAGCCGTAGCTCAAAAACAAGGTGCTGCACAGTGGCAACCAGTAATGGCATGTTTGTGAAATTGTTCTGATTGGTATAATATTGTGCATTTAAGTATGTATGTATCTATGTATGTATTTATGTATGTATTAATAACTATGTATTTATGTATGTATGTTTGCCATTGTAACCCAAATTTCCTCATTAGGATCAATGATTGTAATTCATTTATTTATCATTATATAATATATATATATATATATATATATATATATATAAAGCAGAGAAGACAAAAAATCCACAGTACCTCTCGTTTGGCTAACACTAAGCCACCAGCTAACCACACCAAGTTTTGTCTCATAATTGTGTGCACGGAGGACTCGCTTCTTTGGGGCCAAACATAGGAGAATCCAACTGCTGTCTTATCGAAAGTCTGCGGAGGGATCAACTTGAAGGGTCGGTACTTGGTTCCATCGAGATTTCGAAAAAGTCCGACATCCACCCAGGCTATATAGGGGTTCTTAAAGGTGTCGTCGGTGCTGGCTTTTTCCAGAGCATCATATTTAGCATGCATGGCACAGGTGTACTCTGCGCTCACTGTATTGGGGTAGTGCTTTGGGTAACTTGGATCAGCATAAATCTCAGCGATCCGTGAAAGGTGTTTAAAGGATGGCAGCTCCTCTCGATTGACCTTGATTACTTTTGTCAAGCGGGGTGGAAGGCAGGATCGGATTTCTCTGAAGATAAAGCATTGGAAAAAAATTTCAGTTAGAGCTATGAATAAAGATATTAGAAACAATGGAAATGATGTTGGCAAAAACAATGGACATGTAAAGTGTTGTTAAAAACAATGGATATGAAGTGTTAAAAACAAATGATACGGTAAGCACAAAATAGGTGAATATGTATTGACAAAAATAATAAATATGGAATTGACAATATGGTATTTGGAAATGGATGTACAAAAAGTGGGGAGACATGGAGTGCCATCAAGCGACTAGCCCAGGATAGGGAAAGGTGGAAAGTGTTTGTTCGTGGCCTATATCCTGATCCAGGTTGAGAAAGGCAATGATGATGAATATGGTATTGACAAAAGTGAATATGACGTTAAAAATTACAATGAATGTGCTGTTGTCAAAAACAATGAACATGGTATTGACAAAAAACAAAAGACCTGATATTGACAAAAACATTTGATATGGTATTGGCAAAACAGTTGATATGGTATTTACAAAAACAATGAATGCATAATCAGGCGCTCATCAAAATAACGAAATTGGAGAAACTGGCATTTTTCCGCTAGTTTGGAAATTTTAATCAAATTTTTATTTTTTGGCTCAACTCTTCCATATAAAAACAGACTTCCATGTGAATTTATTGAAAAACATTGATTAAAGGCACAAAATATGTCATTTTTCAGTATTCAAGGACTCTTTTGCAGTTGGAGATACCAAACTTGGCAGCCATTTTCTCACTAATTTCACCACTGAAATCAGGCAACCTCACCTCCTTCAATCGCAATTATCTTAAATAGAAATCAAGGCAAATGAATCAGCTTTCAGAGGATAGCAATAACTCCACATACCCAAAAATTAACTAGCGCTTGATTCCATCGCATCATGACACATATGGTCTTGACAAGAATAATGGATGTGTGGTCGGTAAAAAACAATGCACATGGTGTTGAACAAAAAAAATGAAAGAAAAAAAATAATGGAAAATAATTTTACTATATGTAATATGCAAAAACTATTCACAAACAATTATCCCATTCAGACTTTCAGACTTGACAGAGTAAGCCCATTAAGGAAGTGTAAAGCTGGAAACATTCAGCTACAAAAAATATGCATTATCCCAAGTCCTTAAAAGATTATAAATCTTTTAAAATTCTTAAGTAAAAGAGAAGAAAGTCATTGATACTTGTGTAATCATTTTTAAAAAGTCTACAAATCTAAAAAACAGAAGTAGAAATGACTTTAACAATTCCTTGACATACCTAAAGTATTCTACATCCTCATCTTTCTCAATAAAAGCAACAACGTGATTTGCTATTTTGCCAAATGTCCTCATCCATCGTCGGTATTTATAAGGGGAGTGGTAAGACAGAGGTTGATCTCCTTTCTTGAAAACACCCAGGTCAATAAACATGGTGACAATCGTCATCTCCTTCTCTACTGGCTGCCAAAGGGCAGGTGAAATTTCTTCATTTTTGCACCACTGACTCTGTTGACAAAATACAAATGTGAGGCAGCGTGTAGGAATCAGGCTTTCGTCTAAATAATCATTGTGAAGAAACTTGCATTTTTCCACAGGTTTGTGAATTTTTATCAAATTTTTGTTTTTTGGTTCAACACCTTTCATACTCATTAAAGAAATTTCTGAGTGGATTTTTCTGAAAAACGTTGATTAAAGGTACAATTAATGTAAATTTTCAGTTGCCACGGACTCTTAAGCTAAGGAAATAACTAATCTTTGGAGACCATTTTCCGAATAATTTTACCTCTGAAAACAGGTGACCCCCACTTCCTTCATTCGCAAATATCTCGACTTGTATTCAAGATAAATGGATATTTCTTTCCATCCAAATAAAGACAAGTAAACAAGCTTTAAGATGATACCAATAACTCTACATGCCCAAAAATTGACGAGAGCCTGATTCCACCATGCTGCCTAATAAATACGTTAATTGAACATTGTCTATGAAACAAGACATAGCAGTAGGCTACAATTTAAATTTAAATATCTCCAACAGAAAGCATTATCAAGGGGGACTGATTCCATAATGAACAAGCTAGATCACTCAAGGCAGCAAGTGATAATTCATAGGAGGCACCAGATTATTAAAACAATCTTTGTGTCCATGAGATGTCTTTTGGAAAAAAAACCCCAGGGTAGCTGTAAATTGCTGCTCATAAAAATGAGCATTCAAGATGAAAAAATGTAAATTCATCACCATTATTTTTACCTCAGGACTTGTTCATCTACTGCAGAATGCAGCCCTCAAAATACATCAATAATAAGGGAGAATACTGATATAATAGAAAGAAGATATGTAACAGTGGAACATCTACACTGACATTGAGAACACAGATGCAGCATAATGTAGTCAAAACTTTAACCCATTTTCTATAGCAGATAGCATGGTCAGGAAGGGTGGCATTAGAGTAAATGTTGAAAAGAGTGCATGTGGTGCTCTCTCTTTAAATTTCTGTCCCTAGACACTTCCAAAGTCTCTATTTTTTACCTTCTGACTGTTTGAATATTCAAAAGTGGTGGCTTTTGTTATAGCTTTTCTTACCACTGGTGGATTCCATGGCAGCAGTTCAAGAGTGTAAAACACATGATCTGAAAATATATGACCATAATGACCAAGTAAATATAATTGACAAAAAGGGAGCCCATTTGGTCACCTTTAGGCCCACGGGGCTATCCCGAAAAATTCTGTTTTGAGAAAATCGAAGGTAAAGTTTTAGCCCCTTGTTCAGTTTCTTTAAAAGACAAGAAGAGTTTTCTTTATAACCAAACAAAATATACACACCAATGAAACCAAACTTCTCCTATAGGTAGGGCAATGCCCATCAGATTACATGTAAAAAATGTAAAAAGGTAGGTAACTTAAAAAATTTCCAATATAAATTCACTCTGCCTAACAAAGAGCAGACTTATAAAAAGACTTGATTGAAATATCATTTAAAACAGTTCAGCTTCTTAAACAGATCAGCAAAAACTCCTGCCATATATTTCCATCTACCTTTGATTATGGTAACTTTAGGATTTTTCAATGTTAAAAATCTAAGGCTTACAATCAATAGAAAATTTATTGAAAACTTACATGAAGTGAAGAAAAATCCTGTAAGGAAAAGAACAAGAAGAAGCACTGCCACTGTCCGTAAGCATCTTCTCCTCCAACACAACATTGAGAGAGTGGAAAATAAGATAGTTGTTTCTTTTCAGCCGCTTAAAAAGGCACTTGGGGTTAAGTGAGAACAGGGAAACCAAACTGCAAAAAGAAATTATAATTAAATCAGACGTATTTTTACCTCATACATGCGCAGCTATTTATCATAATAGAAGTCTATAATCAGTTGCAACCTCATCAAGTGAATGTCTTAGATAAAGTTTGGACTCATCAAATCACCATTACAGTTGAACCTGCTTTAACTATGGCCAGCTGTTTCAGACAATCAACGGTACAAATGGCTCCTTCCCATTTTGCCTATTGTATATTTTTTCCCATTATGACACTGACTACGGGAAATGTCCGCCTGTCTAAGACAACCACTTTTCTCCTTGACATTGGGTGGCTGTCTTAGATAATTTTGACTGTATACATATAATATCATGACACATTAATATTACATCTACAATTAATAAGAGTTGCTTGAGATACGATCACTAAGAAATACCTTTAAAAATTAGCCTTGGCAAAATTTTGTGAAATATCAGAGAAACTTAAAAAAAAAAGTGGATTAGGTCTAGTATTAGGGTGCATCTCTAGAATTAAAAATGTTTTTATTAAAATACATAGTACTTTCAAATAGATTAGAAAACAATGCAGTCACTAATAACATTTAAAAATTGGACTTTACCTTTATTGTGTCCATTTGCATTTTGTATAGAAGCCATTGGTTTCATGTGGTGCATGAACCCTAATGAGGTAGAGGCTACAGAGCTGTCATAGTTTGGGATGGTCTGGTTGGTATGAACAAATCACCACCAGTGAAAACTACTGCCGAGGATACATTGTACAAGTTGCTGGCGTGTCACGTCTTATATTCGTATTTCACCATGGTGTCATTCGAGTAGACATCTTCATGCATGACAATGCACCTTAAAGGGTCAACATCACTAGACAATTCTTGGAAAATCAAAACATACATGTACCAACAATTAATTGACCCCCAACCGATTCGCCCCGATATGAATCCAGAACTATATGTGGAGTCTCACGAAACTGCGGCTAAAGAAGCATGAATTTGCTCCCAACTAACATGCTTTATTTGAAACTCTTTGTGACACTTGGAATAATGATAGATCATCAAATCCACAATCTAACACGGTCCATGCACAAAAAAGTGTTCGTGTCCTCCACAAAACAAATGGCTCCAAAAAGCAAAATACAAATGAACACATTTAATATTAAGCCCAATCTTTTTGTGATATTTATGAGAGCTCTGTTTTTTAATATGTTTGAAACTATACTGTACCTTAATAAAACATTGTTCATTCATTAAACAATTCCCCTCCCATTTGATATCCATGTAATACACTCCATTCAACACAAATGTTGATGCACCTCAATAGAAGTGTAAACACACCTTTAAGTTTCCCTGATTTCACATAGTTTTGCCAAGGTTAATTTTTAAAGGTCAATAATTTATCTTGGGCGACTCTTATGTAGATACATAACATTGAGGTGTCTCATGATGCAGAATTTATGTAGCTTTGAATTAGTACAGTAGTCTCCGCCTAAACGCACGGTGCTCGGGAGGGCTCTTAACACGTGTTTACACGGAGCGTGCATTTACATGAACCTTCGCAAAGGGAGGAAGGGACGCAGTCATTTCATTGCCTTGATATTCTAGTGACCTCCCTTTGGGGTTGGGGTCACTTTGGGCCGATAATGTGACTGTTTTGTGAAGGATTCCCCGACTGCGGTTAAAAAAAGAACACAATGAATTGGGGGGGAGAAGCAAGACAGACTCAGTGTAATGAATGTTGCACTATAAAACATCTGGAACAGATAGCCTAAGAGGAAATTGTTGGAGATAGTCATAGTCATAGAGATAACGGCCCAGCCACATATATGGCTTTCCAAGCTACCACCCCGATCGTAAATTCATTCATGGATGACATCAGAATCATAGATCTCTACATTCAGAAAAACATTTCTCTTGTAATTCATTGAACAAGAACGTTATAATAAGATATTCATATTTAGTTCTTCGAGCGGAGCTGAATAGGCTTTCTTGGCTAATCTTAAATCCTATAGAGGCCTGTCTAGTGTTTTACGGCATTCATGCCTGTTGCGCATCAGGCCAAGGTCTAACTAAACATTACAATTACATGCAGTTACCCAAACACCAATCAGAAACCTTCTCTCAAAGATGCATTTCCAGTGACCAATAAAAATAAAGTTCAGTCCCCCAACCCCAACATTTTACCGACCAGCCCTAGACCGAGACCTGTGTGTCTAGAAAGTTGGGAGTGAAAACGCTCTCCATTACTGTCTTCGTTCGGAGTGAGGAGCACTCTCACCAAATTTAAATATCCGGTTTCCTAGGCTGGTCTTTTATGCGAGCTGTGCAGGTTGTAGTGAAAATTTCCCCTAAATAGTCAAGCTTAACTAGTAGGCGTGTTTCGTGGATCGGAGTGTGCGTTTAGTTTAGAGAGAGTGACCGTGCGTTTGTACCCCAAAATTATGAAGTAAAAAACCCGTCAGATGGTGAAAGCATGCATTTGAGCGGAGCGTGCTTTTGTATGGCGAGCGTTTAGGTGGACACTACTACATGCTGAATGAGTAGTAAGTGCATTATTTTAAGACTATAAATGGGTGAATACACAGACTTGATCTTTTCTTGCTTTTTTTTTTTTCAACTTTTAGAATTTGAATTTCAACAAAATATTTCTCGAACACGTGCAACAAATATTATAGAAAGACGTGTATTCTTTATCTCTGGAACGGCTTGTGGTTGGAACAGCTGTGCCCGTGATCCGCTGTCAGTGGCTTGGTCAAATTCCTACAATGATGAAGATGTTGTATATTAATTTTTGGAAGGAGTTCCGCAGAGGGCCGGCTGATCAAAAACACCTTTTACCTAATCCAAACTGTTGCATAGTTTGCTCAGTAGCCTAAGTGCCGACCCTCTGCGGAACACCTTCCTAATTTTATTTTTGGCAATTGCCAAAAAATTCAGAGTTCTTTCATCTAATGAAGAACCAGCAAACTAATTTCCTTTATTTAGTTATGTGGGCCTTGTCGGTCTCAGGTTTCATACAAAAAGAATGCTCCAGAACTGTGGGAAATCCCCTCTGAAGAAAAAGGGTTAAAGAAACTGCAATAAAAAGATTTTTGGCTTATGGTGTATATATATATTATATATCTTAACAGCTGGCAGAATGTTGAACACCAGGTCGCTGTATCTACTTTAATGAAATGCAATTCAGTCAGGGAAATTCAGGAGACACTTGCAAGTTGTATTAGAGCAAAACAGAGTATAAGCATTTTTACCAGCGTGGAATACTCACCTTCTTATCCTTATTTACATCTTGTCCCACTTTGCATTAGATTACTCTAGATCTAGATCTAGATCTAGAATGTTGGTTGCTGTATTTGAATTTGCAACTTTTTCAGCAAAACTTATAAAAGAATAAGGAATTGGAGGGTTGTTTTGGGTCAGCTGAGAATCTAATATAAACTGCTCTGAAAAGTTTGTCATGTCACAGTTTTAAAGTTGAAAGTTGAAGTCCTTAATCTTATCCTGCCTTCTCGTGGCCCCCTACTAAAATGACTGAAGTAAGTCAGCAGCTCTTTTCTACTGTAGCATCAACTATTTTGCCTGAGTGATACTAGATCTAGTCCATTCCCACATTTCATGCTTTCCCAAAACGCTTCCTCGCGTCTCTAGAGGCGACGAAGATTAGTTCACTTGAGCGAGTCGAGCAGGTAGGCCCCAAGAAAGTTGTGTCGCCGGATCAGTGGTGTGAAGTGTGAAGTGTGTGAATGTGAAGTGAAGCAGGAATCAGGAAGCGAACAAGGAAACTGTGAATGGGCATGTTGTAGTCTTACAAGTTTAAAACTACACTGTTGACTGTGTGTGCATTCGCTTTTTAATTACTAATGTATTCACTTTTATGTTGTGTTCTGAGTGTCGCCCTGTTTTTCACTCTCAAAAGAGTGTCTCATTGTTTTTTACTCTAAAGAAAGGGAGGGATAGACCAAGAACAAGTACTTAGAAAACTTGAACTGATAGCTAACGACGAAAGAGCAGGACACCATAATGTTTAGTACGGTACCACCATTTTATGGTGCGTCCAAAATTCGTTGCGCAACTTATCCTCAAATATCTCTTTAACGGACGAATCAATGTCACCCATACTTTGCACAGCAGTTTGTGCCAATTTGTCCTAACCTAACCATATTTTTCCCCAACACTTATTGAGGCCAGAAAAGAACTTTTCTTCTTGAATTTATATATAATTACTATAAATCTCGTCGCGCGAAAAATGGGATTGTTCATAGCACTTTCCGCTTCTCACACACATTTTTCATACCGGTACGCTTAATATGGCCTACGTCATAGTTCACCAATGACACTTTTTCATGGCAGAACTTGTTACAAAAAAAAAACACAAAAAAAAAGAAAGAAAAAAAGCTCAATAAACATACTGTCGCGATTAGACAAAAATGACTGACTTGCTTTTTCAAGTGAAGTTCCCTAGCTGTAAACTTGTTAAAACCTGTAGAAACCACCCTCTTGGATTTTGAAATTAGTATATTTTTTAAAAAGCATTTTCTAGAATACAGCTAACCTGCTGTGCTCACAAAAATATCGATCTGTTAAGACAAATTGTTACGTGTACAAGTCCATTTTGCAAAAAGCTGGGTCTGGTTCGACAATGAAACATATTTGGCAATAAATTGTGCCACGAATTTTTGACCGCACTATGGGGCAAAGCGGTCAATTTTACAGTGGAATAGAGTTACTGCACACTGCACACATCTTCAAACGGAAATGAAGCTTTTGAATGTTCAAAATAGGGAAAACTCTTTCTCTGTCACTGTCAGATAATTCATCCCATCGGCTGTAGAAGAAACCATATTTAAACCTTACAGTATTTTTCGGGACTATTCTTCCCTGCAGATTCACTAGTCACCTTTTCAGACGTTGACGACTTATTAGTTTTTATGTATCTCAACACCACGAGCGCTGACAACAGCAACCCCCCCCCCTCCTTTCCACATCAATTTGTTTCAAATGGATGTAGATCAAGGAGCTTACAGTAATAGTTCTAAGCTCCTTGATGTAGATCTAGATTGAAAAAGTCGAGGTCTGATAAATATCTTCACAGTACCGATATTGTACACATATTATGTCCTGAAGCTTTAGATGTACGGGTTTCGTTCACGCCTACCGTGATTTAGGAGAGAGAGAGAGAGAGAGAGAGGGAGAGAG